CAAAGAGGCGTCTCCAACAATCGAGGAGTTCCCTGATAATTCGAGAAACTCAGTCACGCATGCGCCAGCAGCGTCACGTAACAATATAGTAATATATGATGTGAAGCATAACTAAAACCTTTTAATGAACCTTAGTCTTATGGGAACAGCTACATTCTCGGTAAAATGGTTGTAAATTTTGCGCCCTATGAACCTAGCGCCCGGATGCAAATGCCCCTCCTTGCACCCCTTTCACTAAGCCATCGAGTCAGACGTCACTATTAGATCCTGTTAACGAATTCTCTTAAATTATCAATAGATTTCTCATATTAACATCTTCATCGTTTTTGATATCCTGAAATTTAATAATTTCACAATCAATATTTCTGTGATTATTACTAGCATAATTAACGTACAGTATATACCAAGCCTGTAGCCAGGGGGTTCAGGAGGGGGTCGAACAAACCTTCCACTACCGCCGAAGTTCAGCTCGCCTATTAACATTTATTTATTTTTCCGTTCTTTGATAATGGCCTCTCATTATATAATTGCTTTTGCAACACAGTGCAAATACATGCGGAAATAAAATTTTCATACTTATCAGAGGACGTTTACTAGAAATGGTTATTTGCAGTGATAATAAAGGAACCATTACATATTTCGCTTTTTTCTTTTCGTTCCTGGACACTATAGTTACACATGAAACGAGTTCCACTTTGGACCAAAAATAAACCCCTACTTCCAGACCTGGCTACGGGCTTGTATACATGTATAATTAATCACAATAATCCCCCTCCCGTTCACGCATAACAATATACAGTTTCAAGTAGTTCCTTTTTATTTTTTTCCTGTTTATATAATACTCGACAGTGAAACGCCTAATTTCGACTTTTTTAGTTTTTCTTGCTTAACAGTTGTTAGTGTTGACTACATTATAATTGTTATGAGATCATAATTATTCGTGATGCTAAATAGTTGCCCCTCAGTGGCTCAACGATAAGTCTGCAACTTACGACAATAAAATTCGGGTTTTGATACCTGTGGTGGGAAGAATACAGATAGCCCATTGTGTAGCTTTGTGAACAACCAAATCAAAGCTAAAGAGTCTGTAATCGCTTGGATACACACAAATACCTTCTTGAATAACGGAATCATATTATAAATATGCAATATCCAGAGGTATCTTAAAAATCTATTTCCATGTTTTCCGCTTTGCAAAATCTTCATGACTTGACTAACTTAAAGTAACTTTGTTATCCTTCTGTTCTTTGTTCGGTTATTTGTTCATTGCCGTTTCGTAACCGTTGTTTTCGTATTTATATATTTTAAATATTACTTACTAGTCTTCTATATAACGTCACCTGGAAAGGCACGTGACATATCCGATTGGCGCGGATTTCAAGTTCAGCTAAGGAATGGTCCATTTTGCCATCGAACTACTGACGCGACGCCCGAGAATGGAGTGTGTGACGTGTCCAAGAAAACAATAACTGAATAAGCTAAATCTGAAACTTAGTATAGCTAAGCTTTTAATTTGTGTAAGTACAGAATTTAAATATACTAGAATACCAGATTAATTCAATTTTGAAACGTCGTTATTGAAAACTATGAATAGCAAAACAAATCTAATATTAATAATATAATTACAAAGTCAATGGCGTATATTAATTTATGATATAAATTATAAGTTTATAATTATAACTACTGCTAGTACTAGTAATACTATTACTATTTCAAGTATTTGCAAATAGTTATAGGCCCTAAAAGTAAAATTAATAAGTAAACATACTTAATACACTTTTGTTAACATTCGTCGGCTTGGAAAGTTGCTTAGAAGTAGAACATATAAGTTAGACCGTAAACTTAAATTGTTAAAACAAACCTCTTAAATTTATATATACAACTTAATTTAACCTTCAGTTAAGCCACTAGCATTAGGTTATAACTATGACTTAAGTATAGGTATAACGTTAGTCGTAGTTTAGACTGTGTTAGACTTAAACTATACTATTACTAAGTTTTAACATTACAATATAAAATTGTATGAATACAAGTTTTTTATTGTGCTAGTATTTGTGTTCTGCTGTCTAGATTGTGTTTTTGTTTTTAAAATCTGGAGATTGTTGTTGTTAGGACTTAGGCTTAAACAAGCTAAAGTAAATTCTATAATTTATAAAGCATACAAAAACGTTAGCTTGCTACTGTATTAATAATAATAGTAATAACTTTTTGTTGTACTGATTTGTAACATTAAACATGCTTAATAGAGTTACTTCTTTGTAGCTTGGCATTATTAATACATATATGTATGTATGTGTTGTTTTCTAATTTACAAGCTTTGGGTTTATCCAGAACTTGGCAGAGGTTCTAAATTAGCTTTAATATTTATGTAACCTGTTTATGACTAAGTTTTGATGGAAACAGAAAAATTATCGAATGGTATAATGAAAAAGTACATTTTAGGATTTTAGGTTTTTTTGGGAGTGGTGGAAGTAGGTATATTATTATTACTCATGTATTGGTGTGAGAGTTCAAGAATGCAGACGAACAGTAATAAAACAAAAGATAAAGCTCAATGATGTTTCAGTCTATGATATCATATTATAGGTAAATGGTAAAAAAGTTTAATCTTTCATTTTTTTATAAACATTTTTATCACAACGTTGTGAAAAGCTAAACAAATTCTAAAAAAACTAGTATTTTTATCTGTATTGGTTTTCAGTATGGTCATGGAAGGTAATAATATATCCGGTATTCAAGTACTCTTGTGCATTCAAATTTCTATCCATTTTTTCTTCAGTGCCAAGAAGATATAAAATAGTACCTTTCCCAGTAGAAACTTTCATGCTTTCCATAATTTCAAGACATTCTTCAGTATTATATAAAGAAGGCTGACTAATTTAGCCAGTTTTTCTAAAATTAAAGTATTTCGTAGAATATGCCCTTGTGTTAACAGTAGAACCAATCTGGTAGCATGTATTCTCTGTTAATTATTGTGACTGCCTTTTTACATGTTCCTGGTGTATTGTTGACTGGATTTAGGTGCTGCTCAAATGAACATTCTTTTACTGAATCCTTAAACAATGACATTTTTGGACTCTGCAATGACTATATATGATGTAGATGTAGTTTTATGTATGGTGATCCATCAGCCAGCTTCTTCAATTTCATTCCAAGTATGTTCAATTGAATTGAGATCTGGTGATTATGTTAGCCAATGAAAGTGACTGAAATCTGTCATGTTCTTCAGACAATACTAATGCAGTTGATTGTTGCTTTATTGTCTCAGTTAAGCCTTTGACCATCAGGATAGAAATTCATCATTTTGAGGTGGATCTAATCAAAATACCATCTTCAGCAGGTTGCAATGTCTGAACAATATAGAATGAAGTGCCTTGAATAGGTATTTCCATATTTTTTTGCTTTACCACCAATACAGAAAAAGGTAAAATGTGGCTTGGGCCATGTTACATTTCCAGTCATTCATTGTCCACATATTGTGATCTAAGCATCAATGAAGGTGTGCTTTCCTGTTTGCATATGAAGCTAGGAGATTTTTGACTGGTTGTTGGTTGCCATATGACAGTTTATATAGTTCTTCTTATGGTATGGTTGGAAATAGTCAAGATGTGATTATTGTTGGAAGAATCTATTAATTGGATTTGGGTTAGTCTGACACCTGTTGCACTTTACAAGTCTTAGTTGTCTTTTTTTCCCCTCTGTGTGTCATAAATGATTGGCAGATTTATTTCGTTTTGATCACTGCTGTTGTAAACTCTGATGATAAATGTCCTTGAATAGCTGGTCAATTTTTTTTTATAACTACATAATTGTTAGACAGTCACAAACATACCCCCTTTGGAAGTTGAAGATATTCTTTCTGTTATTCATGGTCTTGCTGAGTTAATAATTGAATAAGTATGAATGATTAACATGTATTTAATGTTTTCAGTCTAATAAATATTTAAAATATATATTTATAAAAAATAAAAGTTGTAGCTGGTATTAATAAGTCTTTTAATTTTGTAAACATGAAATGTATTTTATTATTTATTAGATTTTATACATGATTAGATCTCTGAATTTATAGGGCTCAAGAAGTCACCTGACACATCACATTATAAGTATTTTGTTTGTGCAAATTACTGGAAAGTTCTACAAACATAAAGGAAGGCCCTAGTAAAATGATCAGCCAGTGTACATTTTAGGGTGCTACTATAGCGTGAGGTCTACTGCTGCATTATCCATCCCTCATGGATATCACACATTTCCATACATT